GGTTGCCCAGTTGAAGCTCCCTTTCCACCTCCTAACCTATTTGAAGTCCCTCTCTATTTTATTTTATTTTTTTAACATGTTACATGGGGAATCAAAATGAGCTTCCAAAGAGTATTGAAACACGACAGCATCTGTCACATGCAGGCGGTTTCTGATATTCTTGCATCTGTGCCTCTTCTCGGGAACGGACAGCACCAACCATCCACACCTGGGCGCTCCTGAGGAGCAACAGCCCTAAGCTGCACTGGAGCGGCCTGAAGCCTGAGTCTTTACAGTGGCCTTCAAGACCCTCATGGTGGGGACACCCCCAACCTCCAGATTAACACCTGCCACTCTTCCTGCTCACTCCCTCCTGCCTGGCTCCCTGGCTCTGCCCCCCACCCCCACCCCCACCCCCACCCCCATCCCTGCCCCAGGAGAGCTGCACTGTGACCCCCTCACCACCTTCAGGTGTTTGCTCAGTCACGTGACCACCTTATTCAGCATCTCAGAACTCCCTACCCGGGCTTCCCAGACGCCTTCATTCACTCTGCTTATTAAAGTTGCATTTATCATCTTCTAAGAACTAAACACTTGGATCACCTGTTATATTTATTATCTATCTCCTCCCCCTACTCTCAAAAATAAGCTCATTGGAGCTTTTCTGCCTTTTGTTCCTATTGTTTTGTTCACTAATACACCTAGAATAGAGCCTGGTCTTCATCAGGTGCTCAGTAAATCGCCATTAACGGGTTCATAAATGACTAGATAATCCTTCTGCTCCTTGTGAAGACATGACTAGTCACAAATAGCTGATAGGAAGGGGTTATATTTACAATAAATCTCACTAATTAAAATATAAAGATTCAAAACACAGCCATCCTATTTTTCAGGTTAGACAATTGCACACTCTTAAAAAGCTTATAGATCAGACCTGCTTTTCTGTCTTGGTCCCACTCTCTGAAGCTTGATGCCAGAATTTCCCACAGCAGCCCAGTTCCTTGTTAGGGGGCAGGGTGTATTTAGAGCACAAAACCTCCCAGGAAGGACCACTGCAGCTCCGTGTGGATTTTCTCTCTTCGCCTGTTAGCTTTGGCTCTGGGTCTTATACAGAATTCAGTTTTAACTGTTGCTGGTTTCTAGCCCTCATGCAGAAATGTTGGCTTCCACAAGACCTAATTTGAGTGACTACTTGCTTAGAAAGTGGTTTGGGGGGCCGGCTCCGTGGCCGAGTGGTTAAGTTCTCACGCTCCGCTGCGGCGGCCCAGGGTTCGGATCCTGGGCGCGGACATGGCACCGCTCATCAGGCCACGTTGAGGCGGCGTCCCGCATCCCACAACTAGAAGGATCTGCAACTAAGATATACAACTATGTACCGGGGCGGGGGACAGCCGCAGTTTGGGAAATAAAGCAGGGAAAAAAAAAAAGATTGGCAACAGTTGTTAGCCCAGGTGCCAATCCTTAAAAAAAAAAAAAGAAGTGGTTTGGGGCAAAAACCGCCAGAGGGAGGTTCTCCATCTGCAGAGGGCAGGAGGTCGGTGGGTTCCTTGGGAAGCTGTTGGTCATAAGGGTGAGAGGCCTTTCAACAAGGCTTGCAAGTCAGAGAACTGCGTTTTCTCAGGCTGAGGGACAGGAAAATCCCTGCAGTTAGAGACCATTCAGTGGTTATATTTTAGGTATATGCTTTGTCCAATCCCAAAACTCACTCTGTTTCTATGTACAAGTGCACCTGGGGCGTACATTCCTTTTCCAGTTCTATTATCTTTTCCATAATTAAAAATCAACTCTGATGCTGTTAGCTCATTTTAAACCAAGGAATATCTTTGTTTTCCCCAAAGGTGAGTTGTCTTGTCATGTTTTTTTTTGTTTGTTTGTTTAACATTCTGAAGAAACCCTTAAACCAAGAGGCCGTACTCTAGGTGTTGGTAGCTGCTAACAATCAAAGCAAACAACATATTGAATAAAGACGCTTAAATCATCATATAGCCTGGAATGGGAAAGTGAGGGAGTCAGGGCCTTATCATTTGTGTGTTGGTGTTTATTCTTCTGATTCTAATTAAATAAAATGAGTTTAATTCTAGAAAAAGACTGAGACATTTACCTTATAATCAAAGTTTCATTCCAAGGTCTGAAACCATGCCTAGAAACACACGCTCACTCCCCGAGCAGCTCATTCCCTGAGACCTGCTATGATGAACAGGCATGATCTACTGAACTCTTTCCACTGGAAAGGTGATTTTCCAGGCGCTGTGATCTGGGGGCTTTTAGCTCTGTTGTTTCTAGATCTCCACGCTGATAAGGCCCTGAAAGTGGGTTCAGTCTGTTTAGGGGACTTGGGCTGTGCCAGGAGCCCACCCCTGACCAGGCTGTCTGGAGTTAACAAGCTGGGATCCAGTCCCAGCTCTGCTCGTTTGTAACCATGTGACCTTGGAACTCATCTGAGCCTTTTTCTCATTGGTAAATTAGAGATAATAATGACCATAACTACATGAGGTAAAACAATAATGGTAAGTTCTCAATAAATGTTAGCTGTCAATATCATCCTTGTCTTCACCATCCTCACAACAATTCTACCAGGCGGCCTCCCTACTTTACAAATTCTGGAATTGAGGCACATGTAACTTGTCCAAAGGGACCCAGACAATGAGAGGTTAAGCTAATTTGAATATATAAAATCTCATGCTCCTCCTTCCAGGACAACTTTTTTGAAGCTATTTGATTTTAACCCAAAATTTATTTTGGTCTGTAGATTGAGGACATGGACCTTCATAATTTTGATTTCTCTGTGCGGCTTACCAAGGGTCTGGGCCTGAAAGTCGCACAAGAATGTGGACCCTATCTCTGCCCTCAGTTTTTCTGAAGCATTAGCGTTTTGCTATAGGAGAAAATTCCATCCTGGAGATCTGGATCGCATGGCTCCGCGCTAATGTTTGTGCAAAGCTGTGCCACTTCCTTGGAGCCCTTGTACCATGTGCTAGCACCTGAGGTCATTAATGGGCAGAGAGATCAACGGTTAAGTGGGAGCTAAGGGAAACATTTATAGGAGCCGGAGAAGGAGCCGTTACAACCAGGGCCACATCCCTCGGGCCATGTATAATTCAGCCTTATTTCAAGAGCAATTCATGTTTCTATATGTTGAAAGACACTGTGCTTCAAACATTTGTATAATGTCTTAATGATCCCCAAAAGGAGAATTCATAAGCATGCTTCGACTGCCTACTGTGTGCTTGGCATTATGTTTGGGGGCAGAGACAGTCCATTCATAGCCATCACTGTGAGCTAATAACCTAGCAGAAATACTGAAATAATAAAGAACAAAATAAGAACTGCATAAAATATACTAGCAATGTGTACCTTTGTTTTCCCTGAGGCTGACAAATGCCAGGCAAATAGAAAGTCCTCCAACATGGGTTTATTATTTTGAACAGAAGGAATGTGCTGTGATCAAACAGGAGAAGGGAACAACTGATTCTGACTGGGGAGCTTGGGGAAGGCCCATGGAAGAAGTGTTGCTGGCCTTGAAGAATGAGTAAGATTTTAATTGAGGGAGGGGGGAAGGCAGCGAAGGCTGATGAAGCAGCTGGAGCAGAAGGCAGGGGAGGATGTGAGTGCACTGCACATTCGGGAGATGTCCAGGCGCATCTGCAGCCAAGTGTAGGTTTCATCCGGACAGCAGTGCAGGATGAGGGCGTAAAGGCAAGCTGGAGCCCATCACGAAGGCATTAAATGACATAGAATGGAGTTTGCCTTCTATTCTCTGAATAATAGGGAGGTTTTTGAAGGGAAGAGTAATATATTCACTTCACTGACTTTGAAAATAATTCTGGGGATAGTGCAAACGATGGATTTAGGAGATGAAACGGGAAGTAGGACCATCCGCTGGGAAGCTCATGTAGGAGGCTGGCTAACACCACTGTCATCGGGAGACGAGGCCCACACCAAGACAGTTACTGAGGAAATCAAAGAGCATTCCGAGGGCCCAGGACCACCCACCAGGAAAATGATCTGTAATTGTCCATGGGGAGTGGGGGAACTGAAGATGAGATGAAAGAACTGAGGGCTCCAGCCACAGTGTCTTGGGAGGAGGTGGTGAGAGGTGTTGGGTTTCCAGACAAGATTAGAGATTTTCTGGAAAATTTCATGTTTACTTTCATGACCATGCTTGGCTGCAGTGCTTTCATGGCATTTTCCAACTCCCTTCAATATTACAAAACATAATTTTCTATTTTCAAGGCACAAATCTACTTGATGAACGTAAACCATTCAAAGGAGCTTAGAATGTGCTCACACGGAGGCCATACCTACGCCCTTTACAGCTTGAACTTGAAGGGGAGGCAAAACCTTACGCACTTCGTTTTTACCTGGAACTCTTTAACAAGAAGACAGAGTATCAGGCAAAAAACAAACAAAAGTTTATGAATAAGTCATGGAAAAATGAGAAACTCAGAGAGATGGACTCATAATTCAGGATTAAATATCACATTAATGGGAAAAGCGGGGGGATTGTAGACTTCTTAGAGGACAGTACGTGATTTTTAAGAAAGATGAATGGGCCCTTGGAAGAAGAGCTGGGAAGTAGGCCAGCTTGTGACAAAGTTTGGCTGGGTGCGGTGTCCACTGTGGTCTCCTCTCCTGGGGTAATTGAGACCTCCCTGACTGATGGAACTCCCCGGGAGGGGCTTTATGACAACTGAGTTCCTTTTGGAGGATTTATCTTTAGGCAGATACGGGAGTTAGGAGAAAGCCGCTGCCTACGTTTGCTGTTTTTCAAGTGCTCACCGCTCAAAATAATCAATATAACAAAGTGGCCTGTTTTGGGGTAGTATATTCTTCTCCACTTCAAACTAAAGCCAGCAGCCTAGGAACGACCATGTCAGACACCCATAGGAAGCATTGTGAAAGCAATGCCTTAGAGGGCTGCTTTAAGGAAGGTTTTTCTGAGCCTTGATGTGTTTCTTCCTGAAAATACATTTCTCCTCTCATCTTCTCTTTATTTTTCCTCCTCATGCCTACGCTTTTAGAGGAAAAGTCCGGTAAGAAATAACAAGTCCTTTCCACATTTTGGCTGAACATTATTTATTCTGTTTGTTTTCGTCATCTGCATATCTAATGACTGGCTATGTTTAACACCTAAACAAGATTTCGAATTTTAAAAGCAAACCTTTGTGACCCAGACAGGGTCTAATTATGCCCAATGGGGAAAAAGGAAGTGGGTTGCTAAGCGGTTTTACAAGCCTGTTATTAAAGGCCACAGGGTGAGTTTGCAAAGATTCTCCTCTGCCTCGCTCACAGGCTGACGATCAAATATTTTAGGTATTAAGTTTCATTGATTGCAGCTCCCACTTAGATTAGTGAAGCTACATACGTACATTATACGTACATACATAGTCACGTATAGTAATGTATGCATAGGAATGTATATTAGTATACACACATTACTATACCTACATTTACATATATATAGTAATATATAGTAATGTATGTACAGTCATAGTAATGTATGTATGCATACATACATATATTAGTCAAGTATAAACATACATGAGCCAGGCAAACATTTTTTAAGTTAATTTTTTATATAATCTACAACGTGATAGCACCCATCCTGAATGAATGCTGGGAAGCTAGCCTAGAAGAAGGAAGCTGTCTTTTGTTTTTTCAGTTAGAAAAATATCGCTTTCTGGAGTTGTCAGAGACAGAAAAAGAGGATCTTTATAAAGTGGAAAGCACCTCTTACACAGTCCTTTCTGCTACCACTGAGGGACTTTTAGTGGCAGCACAGATCTGGTAAGGTGTCCCTACATCTTTTTTTATTTTAAAGCAACAATGAAACAGATCTAGTAAAAAAAAAAAAAAAATCCATATTCTCTGCTCAGCTGCCTGGTTTATTGGGAACATGCTCCCAGGATGCCAGTGCATGGCCGACACAGGTGACCCCTCCCCTGGGAAATATGAAAACACTGTGTTGCCCTGTTAACAAGCACCGAGAAGTGGTTGGTCGGTTGCTTCTGTTTAGCTCACCTAAGTGGGTGCTGCAGCGAGTGCCATAACCTTTCATCTGACCGTTGACCCGAGCCTGGCAGTCTCCGTATGGCGTGCAGGTGTCCCACACTTGTAGCGTGTCCAAGTGGCAGGAGGGAGGGGGAGCGTGAGACACAGGAAGAGCAAAAACTGAGGTCAAAATATGACAGTTTATCAAAATGTGGACCCAATGTCTTTTTGTTTCCAAAAACAAAATAAGCACCTATTATGATTATTATTATTGCTAAACTAAATGGCCCACTTCTGAGTAAATGAGAGTCAACCTTGTATGACTTGCTATGCACATACAATATTGTTGGTGTATAGCAGCCTTTCTTTATGTTTTTACCAATTTCATTTATTCTCCTTGACCCTGAATCTTTCTCTAAATTATCCTAATTTGGCCACTTTAAATATTGACTGGACTGTGGGGCCTAAAGTCTAGCCATGGTGCTTTAAAAATTCTCTGTTCCTCTTTGGTTTTCCTCCTGTGGTCCTTCCAGCAGAGTTCACAACATGTCCTTCTTCTCATTTTCAGTTGTATGTCTTTAAGGATGAGTCCTCCTCCCACTCCCTTGCCTCACTTTTCTTTGGAAATGTCCATCTTGTTGATTTCTCAATCTGGTCAACTCATAATGATATTTCGGTCAGTAGCAGGCTCTTTTTTCCTCTTCCCCAATGAAGTTTCAGAAGATCATCTCGACCAAGTCCTATTGGATATGACAGGTGTTCTCTGTAACCTGACTTGTGATAGACATAGGAACAAATTTACATATAGATGAACATCTATGATAGGGAAGGCAGATAGGTGCTTACTAGATAGGCATCAACCTAAAGCATTGAAAAGCAAATAAGAATATTGGCAGGGAGCGTAATAATAATGATCATATATTCTAATTCTCTCCTAGAAAATCCTGTAACATGAACCACTGAGTTTGCTATGACTAGATGGTATAAAAATAATACTTGTTTGGTGCTTTGTAGCTTTTGATGCATTTTCCTCTGCTTCTCTGTAGCGCTGAAGTTGACAAATGAGGATATTGTAAAGCTTCAAAACCTGAGGCTGGTTATTCAGTGATCTTGATGAGCAGGACAGATTGTGTTTGGTTACTTCTTTTTATAAATATGTTAAAACACTCGCATTGGCTAAGACTAAGGTATCCTAGTTAGCTGAATTTAAATTAATCCTTTTGGACAAAGAATAACAAAACAAAGCTGGTGTGGAGTGAGGACCCTGTGGCCTGTGAGGACAGGATCGGAAGTATTGTTTTTTAGAGAGGCATATTCATATTGCAAATTATATAAATTTTAGAAATATAACATATTCTAACCAAAGATCTTCATTCTAGTGATCAAATCATAAATTAGTAGTGTATACCCACTTTGAAAATAACCTCAAAATACAAAGTAAGAGTTATCTCTAAGTTGAACACCAAAATAAAGGTAGAGGTAAAAATATAATGTTTTTCAGAACCTTCTCCAGAATGCTTCAGAAGATCAAGAGAAATCTAGGAATTAAGCAATTAATGTTTAATTAGGCACACAGGACATTTGTTCAGAAAACAAATAGACCAATTGCAAAGTCTCCATTTGAGTAATCAGGTGAAGTAATAATAAGAGCAGATAAAATTGACTGAGAGCTTATTACCTGTGACACAGACGCCTGCAATCAGAGACAAATTGGCCACCTGCAGATTCTGAACAACTGAATAGGTATTTTGTCTGGTTGTGCAGTTAAAAACAATTTTAGCCTGCATTTAAAAACCAGAATATTTGAAATTTTAAAAAACGTCAGATGTGCATCTTCTGAGGAACTCTGATGACCCGGCAGCACTAGGTCAAATATCTGCACAGCCGCACAGGTGTGCGTGAGCAGCGGCCAGTTCCCTGAAGCTGCGTAAAACACACGTCCTTACACAAAGCACCCCTCTCCTTGCCCGGCATGCACTTCAGCTGGTAACTCAATTCCTAGAATGTTCAGCTTCTAGAATACATCAAGACCAGATACTGAGTAGGTTTCCTTCCATCTTTGAAGTTAATTCTGTATATTGGTAAAATAAACATAGAATGCTAAAGGCTTCAAAGTTCTTGGGAAATGACAGGAGAAAGAGTAGAATAAAACTTGTAGCAGGCAAAGACCCTCCCCTCCTGCCTGATCATGGTTTTGCTGTCTTGGTTGCTCAGCAGAACCCACAGCCAGTTTACACTCCTTAATAGTGATAATGAACACGTATAAAGCCCTTCCGTTTGACTTCTGGAGTTCCTTTTTTTTTTTTTTTTGAAGGTTTCAGAGCTCTTAGGTTTTCTGGGTCTGACTTTTCCACAGCTTTTAGCTGGGTCTTCTGGATTCTGGTTAATAAGATTCCGACTGCACGGATTTGAACAGCTGTTCCTCGATGAAGGCATTTTGCAGATAAAGTTTCCAAAATGCTATCTTATGATGTTATCTTTTACCAGACAAAATACAAACAGGAACTAATGATTAAAATTACAGATTTTTAACTCATTGAAAATTAAGATATGACAACTTGGATGGATTAACATAACTGAAATTATTTTGAAAAGTACTGTTCTCTATCATCTTAAAGCTTCTTGAATTTAAGGTTATGCCTCCATATGGTTGCATCTGCATTTTATTTTGCATTATTTCTCATAATTTCATCTTGGGGGAACTTGTGTCAGTTTTAATCCCCTCTTTGCTGTATTTTATACTACTTTTAAGAGTAAATCGTTTGCCGTGAAATTTAAGCTAAAATAGTAAATTCCCGCAGTTATTTCTTTAGAGTAGATCTTTGGTCATTAAATAATTATAAAGTCTAAATCTTCATAGAAAAGACTGTTTGAATTTCTCTCAAAACACAGCGTGAATTAGTCAGTAAAAGAATTTAAGCCCAGAAATGCATATTCATAAGTTCTTTTTTCTAATTTTATTTAAATTGCAGCCATGCATATAGACAGATTTATAGGAAAGGTGGGATCCATATAGAGCAGAACCTGGAAAATAAGGCAAATAATAAAGTCTAAAATATTACAAGTAAAATTGATTTGAGTAAGTAGGTCTAAAGTCTCAGCTGCTTACAAAACTCATCTGAGAAGCACCCATTCCTGCTTTCTGCTTTAGGAGTCCTCCAACGATGATACGTTTGGTGTCCTAGAAGGAATGCGAGAATGAGAGACCGGAGATGGAGATTCTGTCTCTGTCTACTCGTTTGCTAGCAATGTGTCTCAGGGCCTCACCTTCCTCTCCGTACCATAAAGGCAGTTGGACTAGATACCTATGGAGGCCTCCCAGGTATAAAAGACTATAGGTTTCACTTCCTGTCTATATTCTAGAGTACAGAAGCATCTTCTTCATTTGAGCAATCTTCTAGACACTTTAGTCTACGCTCCTGGCCCAGATTTGGGGATTTAGCCAACACTGGGTCCCAGGTAGCCTCTGGTGAATTGATGGGTTAGCCCGTACCCTGAAAGTGAAACTCTGAGCAACACCTCTTTCCCCACTCCCATCGTAGTCACTCTTGTTACTCCAGAAAAATCCTAAAGAGGGAGAGCAATCAGAGACTGTGGGGTAAATTGATAGCAGCCATAATCAAGGTTTGAGGAGTGAAAGAACAAAGTCATATGTCTGCTTGTTTTTCCGGATGTCATCTGATCCACTAGTGTTCTGCTGGTGCTGGACAGTTATCATCATGTCCACCTGTGCTTGTCAGGGGCTCGTCACCTTCCCCGTCACATTCCTGCCCACTGGTAGAGGCTGTCCAAATCACAAGGCCAAGAGCAGATAGTTGCCAAAAAAAGTCCTCATTGGCACTCATTCCACAGAACACTAACGAGAAGAGCCAGGCCAAGAAGAGGTCTCTCTAACCCTGCACCTTGATATTTGGACGTTCCCTTTAGGCCCTAATTAGGTGGAAATGTGTTGTGTCTACAGTGTTTGCTAATTCTCTGTTGTGTGCGGGAAATAGTTTTCTCTGTATTATTCTCTAAAACCCTCCTCCCCAAATAATCTGGGGGAAAACCCCTTATGACGAGACATTAAAAGCTGTCAGTAGGGTTTTCTTGTAAGTTTCTGCCTTGTTCTCGTGTACACGTAAGTGAAGCTGGTACATCCCCATTAGCAAAGTCATTATACCATGGAGAGATTCTCTTTCAGGTTCTCCAAAACCTTCCTATGATTTAAATAAGCCACAAACACAATGACCACCTGTCTTCCTTTGGCCTCATTGCTTGGAGTATATGTTGGTAGCTGTGTATGACGTCTTCTGTTACCCAGCCTGTTGACTGAGCCATCATTCTCTGACTAGGTGTCTCTTCTCTCTTCCTTTTTGCTGATCACAGAGGCGCAGCCCGGTAAGAACTCTCAACATTTTTACCTTAAACATTTTACCTTAAATATATAGAGAAAATTGCTGCCAAGCCCAGGTGGCCAGGTTGGCTTTCTGTTAAATTTATAGTAACCCGATATGAATGAGGCAGATGAATTAGGTTTACTGGTTGGAAGCCTCTGGTCCTGTAAGTGGCAAGAGCATATTTTAGGATTATCAGAGCACTTTTCCATAACAAACTAAATTAATACATAGGAATCTCAACTCCTAGTGCTAAATTTGAAAAATGTGTGTGTGTGTGTGTTTAGGTTGGTCAGAAAACACCATAGAAGTTTCTAGCAAAGTGATAATAAAGAATAAGAAAACTATACAGAAATTAAGGAAGTATTTTTTAAGCCACATGCTTTTTAAGCCTGAGTTCAAAATATGTCCCTGGACCATAACTAACCTTGGTCAGTATACGCTGATGCATAGTAATACATGATCATAATTTCCATCTTGGGAGGAGAAGACGATTCCAAGTCAATATGACTAGGCTGTCACCTAATTCTAAATTTCATCCCTGAAGACAAATCAGTATTTAGTTTGCATTGTTCAAAGGGAAATCTCAGTCATTTTCCTCAGGTTGAAGAGTGTGATGAATTTAAAACAATAAAAAGAAGAGTCTTGGCTATGTTTGAAATGACCGCCACCTGCCTAGTCGGTCCCTTGACAGAAATGGAACTGAAAACATCCCCCTCTGAGAAGTCCCTAGGTCTGTGCCAATTCAATTAACCAATTATTGTCTGAGGCAAGTACTCTGCCTCCGCTGACAAGCTGGTGCTTCTCTGTTTAAACCACATAGCTGAGGATCAAAGATGCAAAAACTGCTATTCAGGTGTGGATGATTCCAACCCAGCGGTCAGGCGGCATCTCAGATTATGACGTCACTCTTTTTTTTTTTAAGGAAAAAGAATGAATGAGCTAATTCAAAATGAAGGAAATTTATTCACAATATACGTATAAGGACAATCATTGAGAGGAGGAAAGTGTGGTCACTTCGTGAGGAGAAGGTTTTTGAAGCCAATGGGCTTTTTTCCTGAATGTGGTTTGTGTGGTCGACGTCACCTTCACCTTGTTCTAGATTTGTCACGCAGCAACATCAAGGCCACAAAGATCTGTGTGCCGGATCCGCCCGACAGTGGGACTTTCTTTCTGTTGCTGCTGACTTGCTGCTGATGGTTCAAACATCTGTTCCTTTCGAAACCGATATTATTTTATTCTTCCTAACTTCTAAACAACAGAGTTTTCTTGCATATTTCTGCCGTGTCTTGCCTGCACTAAACTGGTGATTCTTCATTCATGAGGCATATTTAATAAAAATGTTACAGGGCCTTCTCATTTATTGTGCCTCTCAACAATAAATATCTGTGGAATGAATTGATACCCTGGAAATCAATGAATACAAAAGAAGCTCTGTACCTTTCTTGGTTTCATGAGTATTTCATTTTAGTAAAAGGGGTAGGACAGAGAGACCAAAAGATCCTCAGTACAGCCCCTGGGTCCCCTAATTCCTGGATTTCACCCACAATACTCAGTGGGTCCTGTTCCCTCAGTGCCAATCTTGAGATTGACCTCTCGGAACTAGAGCCCCTGTATCTTTTCCTTCAGCCCTTATTAATAAAAATCTGATTATCTGAGCCTCCATAACACAGAAAAGAAGTTTAATTCCATTTAAACAATTTGTTCCCTCATTATTTTTGTCTACAGTCTCATTTCCCAAAACTCAAGCGATATCCAAACTCCCTCCATGACGGTAGCAAATTTAGATGACCGTATTTATTTAAAATAACTTTGTATTCATTTAAATATACATAAGGAATTTAATTGAACATTTTAAAGTATTTATCAAAAGAATAAATGTTATTTATTTATTTTAAAAGTTATTACTAATAATGTAATAATTTTCTATACAGTACACACAGACAGATTGCATTATTAGGTGAGACAAATCAGAAAATATAGTTTGAGAGATCAGGCCACCCACTAGACAACACCTAATGGCTCCCTGCTCAGACTGAATCAAGTCCTCTCTCATAAATGAGTTCAAATGGGACAGAATATTTGGTGAATCCTTAGGAAAGAGGGAGAGAAGCTTCCTTCCGTCTGTCAGAGGTGTTACTTCTTGTCCTGAGTGGCTGACGTTATCGTTTGAGAGTAGAAAACGTATGTGTCACCACCAGATTGAGCTTTCACCAGAGTAGGAAAGTAGGAAAAAACTGCATATTTGGTGACTACCCACCAAACTCATGGTCCTAGCCTTTGGAAAACTTTCTTATGCTTCCACTTTCCCCATCCCCAGTCCACCCCTGGCATTCTCCAGAGATAGGCTCATGGTGCCATCCTTCCCCGGGTCTTCTTTTCTGGTAGCACCCCATGATAAGAATCTTTCATAGCGATTTTGATTCAAAACTTTAATTAATCCTTCTGTTATGGGAATAAGTTTCTGCTAGGGCACTGTAAAAACTAGGAAAGACCTTCTCAGATTATTCCTACCAAGCTATTTGCGTTCCAGTAGTATCACAATGCTACTGGGCTAAAGGAATGACTCCCAACTGGCAGATTGGTGGGCTGAGTGGCAGGCAAGTGGAAGAAATGGGGGTGGGGAGGGCCAGTGGGGGGGATGGAGTTCCCCTGCTTCCTGAATAAAACGGCTCATTCAGTGGCAATGCCTCCCAGTTTTCCTTCTCTTTAGCATTTGCCACTTATATCTTTAAAAATACATTAGTAAACTAATGACTGTTTCTGCTAACAATTTGTGGATCCCATCGGATAAGAGCAGACAGTACTCCTAATACATTCTGTAATTTTCAAACGTCAAATGTAGCTTAAACTTGAGTTTACATTTTTGTCTGCTGGATTTCAAGGGTTTTTTCTTTTTAATAGACTATTCAGTATTTACTTTAATTTACCAAGTCTACCCAGGTAAGGGGTATTTTGGTTCAGAAGACTTACCCTCCCTTCCTCTCTGTAATCTTTGAGTAAAATAAAAATTGATTTTTATGTGTGTATCTACCATATCCAACTTGAATGCAATTCTGAGAAAAATTTCGTTTTTCCCATCTGCATTTCTTTGAGTTCAGTTTCATTGCATTGAGAGAAATATACATATTGTACATAACATATATGTGGTCTTAAACCTTATAGTGTCTATTTCTAATTCTAGGGTGCAATTAAAAGGAACTTATCCAGTAAGTATATCCTAGCTACCAGAAGTGGAGTCTGATTTAAAAGAAGGAATAGTCCCTTGGATCTTGGAGCATATATACATTTGAATTATACACTCTTGGGCTTGATTTTTAAGGCTTACAAATGTTTATTTCTGCAGCAAAGAAATCTTGTAATGATAAAGGGACTCTGTGGTTTCTGAATGATTCCTGTTTAAATTCTGAAAATGAATGTTTTTAGAAAAACATTGCTATTATTTGTCAGCTCTTGCTGTATCATTTGACTTTAGAAATGAACTTAATCCAATGTGTGTTTATTGATGAGGATGGACAGAGGAACAGGGAAGAAGGAACTGAAGGTAGATGCAACTTACCCACTCTTGTGTTATTTGATAAGAAAATTTTAGTCAACCAAGGTGATATGATGTAGGCTATAATATACAGAGGGCATGATTTTCCTCTGCTGCATACAATACATTCTAGGGAATTCTAAATTCATGGTTCATAGTTAAAGGTATAACATTTTCTTGGCATTTCAAGAAAAGAAAAGGCAGAGATTGCTGGATTCATGTACTGTGTACATATGGCCTGGCTTAGTATTCTCTTATGGTAATTGGGAAGCAGAACTGATCAAGGCAGCAGACATTCGAAGAATGGCACGTTATTCCACTAAACTCTGCAGTATGCAAATCTTCTGTTTGATGCCTTATCATGGTAGTTCCTTGGTTAATTAGGGTTTACAAATGCCAGAGAAAATGCTGCTACATATGCCTAATATATGGCTTTTGCCTTGCCAGGGGAGAGGGTTTGTTTTGCAAAGTTTTCATGTTGAGTTGCTTGTTGATGGGACTTAAATCTCTAAGTGTTTCCAAACATAGCTCTAAGACATGCCAGAAGTGAATGGCAAAAATGTGCCTAAAAAGTTCCTTTGTCCTATGCATCAGGTGAAGAAGTAGCAAGACCCAGGCGTTCCACACTGACTCCAGAACTTATAAGGTGAGCAGGAAAGACATCAGCTAAGTTTTTTTGCAAGGCATCAGACACGGTTAATAATTCAGCAAATCTTTGGGCTAAACTCTCAGCTCCTACTAATAAGGGACCTGCTCAAATGTGTGCGTCCATGGATGGTCCAAATGTGTTCTCATTTCCTGTAAGCACAGATGGAGGGAGACTTCAGGGAGTGCAGTGTCGTCACCTAGAGTAACTGTCTATCACGTGTGGTCGCCTCACTAACGAGTGGTTAAAGGTCTGCATGAAGAGGTCTTTTGGTGTCTGGAATGCTGGCCCGAAATATGATTACATTGCCCTCTGGACAGTAGCCTGTTGGATATAATTTTGTGATATATTCTACCTGCTACACACCAAACATATCTTTGATTTTGATCTTTGTGTTTAGCAAAACGTATTTTACATGTGTTTTCTTTGAGTTAAGTAAGTATTGTGCAAATGCACGTTGTTTTCCCAAAAAACCCTGCTATTTCTATTTAAGAGTTAGATCCTTTATTTTTCCCTCCTTCTCCAACTCGTCTGTCTCCTCTTCACCTCTTAACTCACACCACACACAGAATTTACTAGGATCCATGACAGGAATCAGGTCTGGGGATGAAATGGAGAAGATCATGCAGCCTTTTGTTAGTAATCAGTTTAATAATTAGGAAAAGTGTGTAACTTATTCCCTTGTTTCCCCCGATTTCTCAATATTCTTCTCTTTCTGAGATGAGCTGTGTTAAGGTATTAGGAGGTTATAACTAGTCTGTTGGGTGCAGGGGGAGGGTGGTGGGATGGAAAGCTGGTAGACCTTGGTCTTATTCAAACACAAACTCTCAGGGTGGCTTGTCACTTAACCCCCCTATGTCTGACTTTCACTAATCAAGAACTGCATTAACGACGACACAGGATGTGGTGAAGACAGATGTAAGTGGGTTTTGAGATCTTAAGAGAGGAAGCTGCTTGGCAGCAAACCGTTATCTCTAGTGTTATCTCTTCCAGGTAGAGAGAATCATGATGCTTGAAAGATTCTCTGCTTCAACTTATTTCTGTTGGACCAGCACCTTGTGCCCCCATTGGGAAGCAGGGATCTTATCTCCTACCAATTCTTGTGTCCATAATACATGTGACCTCCTAACATATACTTTCCAGCCCTGGGGGAGTTTGTGTGAATACATACGTACACACACGAGTGCACACACATACATCTGCCTTACCGTGAAAAGTATTTGAAAGCCGGCGTATCTTTTTTTAGCATTAATATGCCCTTTCTCTATGTTTTGCCTTAATGTGTGTGGTTTAGCAAAAAGCCTCCAGATGACACTGTGGCCCTCGCTCCCCTGTTTGGCCCACCATTAGAATCAGCTTTTGATGAACAGAAGACGGAAGGTAAGAAAAACTCAGTGGATCTATAGATTTGTTTATCTTTTCATTAAAGTATAGTGCACCTAGAGTAAATGTATGTGTGTTATTTTCAATGCATCATCAGATACTCATGTGAAGAAAAAAAAAGCTTTGATCTAGGTGTCTTATCAGCGCAGGAGTTTAGTTCGCAAACCTCTAGTATTTTAGGATTTGAAACTTTATTTCTAGAAATATCTAATAGCTAACAAGTTCATCCCTCAAAAGAGGTCAGTAAGAATTACTGCAAATCTATACAAATCACTGGTCAGGGAGTCAGTGCTCCCTGAGCCAAACAGCCATCATTGTGATGCCAGACCATCAAGCTCCCAGCGTGGTCACTGTCCTTGCGACCTAGCCTCCCTGACCACGTTTACTCTCCTGTCCACCTCTTCAGTGGAGGTGTCAGTTGGCTTGCTCACATAGCAAACATTGTTTGCAGGCTCTAGACTCAGAAATGACCTGGAATCATTTAGCATCTTAGAAATAAAATGTATGGGAGAAATATAATTTCAGCCATTATTGTTGGGTTTACCTATTAAATATTCATTCCTAGAATTAAATATTTAACTTTTTAAAATCAACCATCGTTTTTGGAATGGCTGTAAATAATGGATACCTTGCTGACATAGATGAAACTCTTTATAATCTAATCTCTAAATATAATCTTTATAATCTATTGTTATTATCATTATCTCTTTCTAATCTATTCCTGAAATGTATTTATGTCCAATACCTGTATCTCTAATAGCTGTGTTTGGTAATATGGAATGATTTTATAAAAATCATTTGATTTATGAACACTATGGTGTATATGTATAATAAAATGTTATTTTTCTAGGGCCCATTTGTGAAGGAAATTAAGTTTAGTGTTAAGGACAACAAGACTTGAAAGCACAATGACCAGGCTCAGCTGCAGTAGCAAAGAGACTCCAAAGTGCAGTGAATTAAATAAGATGGAATTTTATTTCTGTTTCATGTTAACAGTCTCAAAGTAAACGATGTACGACTGGAGGGTGGCTCTGCTATCCTCAACGTGTGGCCTTCATCTCTGGGTTCAAGGGGGCTGCTCCAGCTCTCAGCATCTCCCAGTCGGAAGAAAGGAGGGTGGAGGGAAGGGCCAAAAGAACTCACTGCCAACTCTTCTAAGAGCAGAATCTGGGAGAGATGCACGTCACGTCCAACCAGAGCCCATTGGGGAGAATTTGTGCCATCTGGCCAGCTAAAACTCTGCGCCTATAGAAGAAAAGGAGAATGGGTGCTGCGAGACAGCTAGCAGTCAGCCGCATCTGAATATTTTTCAATGACAGGAAAACGTGTCTGGAACATCCCTGAATACTCCTTCAGTAATTTAAACGTCTACAACTTAGAATCCCTATGTAAAAGTGGCCTCCAGTGAGGCCATCAGCTATTTTATTAGCTCACCTGTGATCAATCTTGCTTTTAATAACTTGATTGCCTAGTGACTGAAGGTGGGATTTGATTTGTTGCATTTGAATCTGCCCATTAAAGGAATTCCGCAACTGTATGGAAACCTGATATACAAAATAGAAAACAGTTCTTAGGAGAGCTACTTAGCTCTATTTTCACCGTGTGTGCCCTTAGGCAAGGTGTTTAATCACTCTTGTCTTTGGTTTCCTCTCCTGAAAATGGTTCCAATATTAACCACGTGGTGGTATTGTGAGGATTAAAATATACAATAGCTACTAGCTTTGTGTTGTGTTTTATATGCATTTTGATATACATTATATTTATATGCATTACCTCCTTTCATCCTTTTGGTACCTCTCAGAGGTGGCTCTCCTTATCTCTACATTGAAGGAAGGGAAGCTCAGAGGTTGAATGACTTGCCCAAGGTCCTACAGCAAGTGTGGAGACTGGATTCATATCCACATGGGACCAACCTCCCAGCCTGTGTTTTACAACATAATGAATTACAAGCAGGGCTTACATAGACCCTGGCATTATGATAGGTGCTCAGAAGAACTAGTTAATTACATTGTTACCATAGCAATAAAAAAATCAAAAGCAGGAGACAAAAGAAACAGAAGAAAAGTTAGATTCGGTGTCATTAGGCCCAATGCCTGATTGCCCTCATTTACTTTAGATGTCTAAGCATTTGTTTATTTTTCTGGTTCTCTTAAGATATTCACCAAACATTTTTAGAATAATTTAATTCCTTTTTATGATGCTGTAAAAGGTTTATTTAAAGAATCTGTAAGATCTTTTAAAGATCGGAATCACTGTACAGAAACCAGGCATTTGCATTTTTAAAGCGTATTCATAGCAAACTTTAAATAATCAACTTAAAACAACGTCTATGGGATTAATGCCCGGATTTTCCAATGGTGCCAGAAATGGAGCCACTACAAGTCCTGACATTCAGAATGTCCTTAAGTGACCAACTGGGAGGAAAATGCAGACACTCCATTTTGAAAGTTTTTATTTAGCTGGACGTGCACACACACACACCTCCCGTGCACTCACACCCCCACTCACTCCTATTTCCATTCTCTGCCTGGAAAGGCTGAAGAGCAGCACCTTCCTAAATTAATTTGCTAGTACTGAGGCAAGAGGGAAATAATTTTGTGAAGTTCAACCTTAAATTGAAATTTCAAGTTCTAAAATTGGGCGTCTCTTTTTTGGACTCACCCTGGGAAATTTTCTTTTTATGTTTCCAGTTATTTTAGATCAGCCTGAGATATGGGGTTCAGGCCAGCCAATTAATCCAAGCGTCGAGTCGCCAAAGTTAACAAGACCTTTTCCCACTGGAAGTAAGTTATGTGTCTGCTCTGTCTGGAAAAATAAGTGACTCATTTTACTGTCTGTCTGCATCGTGAAATGAGGCAACTCTTAGAAAGTCTATGTGGGCAACATTTGGACTTTATAATGTCAAGAAGAGACGTTATCCTAACAGGCTTTAGAGTTGAAGGGGCCTACGGTAGGTTCTCAAGGCAGCCTAACAAATAAAGTAAAACTGTTAACTTTGAACCACAGCCTGTCCTGACATCCCACAGGCTCACTCATTCATCCATTTGCTATGTATCTATAAGAGTGAGAAGCAAGTAAGCTAAAGAACCTACTGTGCTCCAGGGTGGAGTGATAACACAACACAGAGGTGGCAAGTCAGATGTGGTCTCTGCTAGTCCTGCAGAACAACTGAGGCTGCTTAGGCTAGAAAGGACACATTGAGAGGAAAGAGTGATAATTGAAGAGCGAGAGGAAAGACTGTATGTGGTGGAAAGAAGCTGAGACAGGAGAGCAGGGCAAATTTGTCTCAGAGCTGAGCCATCAGCCCTGCTTATTCTGGCATGCCCCCTTCCCCACTCCAGGTGGCTGGGGCAGGAGGTCCTGAAGCTCGTCATAGCCCCTCCCCTGCAGTGGGTGGGCCTGTTTGGACTGAACGGATGGCTCATTCAGTGGAACCACTTGTTTGACGGATTTACGGAGTTCTCATTTCAGTAGACTCCCCATGGTAGATGGAAAGCACTCCCAAAATGCCCTTGTGAGGAGGATAGGCTCTCAAAGGGTTTGGAGGTGAAGGGGGGACCCAGAGAGCATTTTCGCTTCACAAGGTTCACGTACGGACCACTTAATGCTTTTTCCATTTCAGCATTCCCCAGGGCTCTGCTTCTTAGTCTTAAAAATACTCATGGTGGGGGCCAGGCCTGGTGACGTAGCTGTTAAGTTCATGTGCTCCACTTTGGCAGCCAAGGTTCGCCAGTTCAGATCCTGGGCATGGAGCTACACACCACTCATCAAGCCGTGCTGTGGTGGCATCCCACATAAAATAGAGGAAGTTTGGCACAGACGTTAACTCAGTGACAGTCTTCCTCAAGCAAAAAAAGGAAGATTGGCAACAGATGTTAGCTCAGGGCTAATCTTCCTCACCAAAAAAAACCAAAAAACAAAAAAACTTCATGGGGGTTCCTAATCAAAGGCCCAAGGGTTACTTGTTGGGAATATTGCTATAAAGCCATGCGATCCAGTCTTTCCAACGGTATTTCTCTCATAAAATGGATAGGAAAACCAGCATTATCAACAACCTTTGTAAAACTTCTGAACTTTCAAAGACTTATTTTGAAAGGATTTGAACCCCAGTGGCATGATTTTGAATATTTCTCCATGCTGCTGGGAAATAAAGCCAGTAAAAATGCTCTAAGTTCCTTGAAAAGCTTTCCTTACAGACCTGAGTTATCCAAATTATTCTTAGAAAACTCTTCCTGAATGCCAAGAAAGTACACAAATGAAATGTTTGTGTAGATGATGTATTGATTCTAAGTCCAACCATTGGTATTTTAGAATTTTATGAGTTTTATGTGCTGTGGTTTACACTTAACACAGCTGAGGCTGTTGTAAAATTGATGTATATTGTGTAATTCTGCTCAGTTCGTTGTTGCAGCATACGTTTACTATTTTAAGTTATTAGCCTTTCCATTTTATTGGTTTTTATGATTCTTGTTGATTGTGATCTCAATTTTTGCAGAGATCCATAACCAGAAACAGAGCCCCTGACTGACTCTTAACTTCGATGGGAAAACATGGTCCATTTGAGTTCTAGTTTTCAGAAGCTCATAGCTAAGATTCGGACCACAAATCCCTGGGCTTTAGAATGACGGCTATTAGTGATGCCTGTTGTGTGGAAGGATAGTGTGCTCTCTAACATTAAATAACTAGAGTTGGGTGGGGGAGAAATGACAAAGGGGCTCTTTCTAATGCAGACAGACAGCAGGTACTGGTGAGAGCTCTCCAGCTAGTGACCCGCTGACTCGCTCTGCATTTAGGTTACGAAAGACTGGGCCACATTCAGACTCACAGATGAACTCGGGGCTGGTTTAGGAGGTTAGTGTGAAGTCTTCAAATATACCAGATATGGCCAGTGAGAAGAAAACATTCATTTAAAGAAAGAATAAGAAAAAAATGTACCTATTGAAACAGGAATTCCTAACTTTGCCCACAAAATGACAAGTCCAGTTCGCGAGGGTGAATCTCTGGGTGGTGGCTGTAAGACAAAACTTCTATCTCAGAGGATTTTTTAGCCATTACTTTTACCAAGGCAATCTGTTCATTCTTCCTTGACCCAAATCATTTTGCTTCAGACTTTCAAAACGATACTAACATTTCAGACGTACAACTTTGAGAAATCTTTCCAGACCCAATCCAGCCAATAATATCCTGACCATATTAAAAATCCCTCACCTGAACCCCCACACAGGCTGTTCTCATTTCCTCCAACAGACCCCAGACTGTGGACGTGATATTGTTCAGTCAGTTATCAATTCCTTGAAGGCAGAGGCCCCTTTTATTAAACCCTATGGCCCTAGTTCCTGGTACCAGATGTACAACTTAGTTGCCATTTGAGATTTGTCAGATAAAGGAATGAATGAATGAAATGCTGATATTGTTATTGTTGTTGTCTGACATTCTTTTGACAAATTCTTGTCGTTATCACAAAATGGAAGAATCTGAATGGGTCCTTAGTTTTGAACTTAAAAAAATTGAGACCATTAATGGCTATTGCATTTCCAATAGCAGGAATATGAATGAAAGCCAAATTCACGCTTATTTACAGAATATCGTGTAACTTAGGGAGAAAGTGACCAATAATGCCTTCCTTCTCCTCCCTTTGCAGCACCTCCACCACTGCCTCCAAAAAATGTACCAGCCACCCCACCCCGAACAGGCTCCCCCTTAACAGTTGGACCAGGTAAGCTTCAGTTTTTTCTGCTCTGGGATGATGTGGCCATCAGCAGTGGCCCTGGACCTCAGCATGCCCTGGACGTGTCAGAAGCTGTAGGCCAGGCTAAACGTGATGGAATGTTTGCCAAAAGTGTTTGCGTGTAGCTTTACTTCCATTACAATTTACTATGCAGACTTCTTTTAAGGTATCACTCCCAGATTTCACAAAAAGGTTCACTTTCTCAACTAATTTTTACTCTGTATAATTTTGTTGAATGAGGGCCACATTTACCTGTGAAGTGAAAGAAAAAAAATCTCAATATCAGAAGTCGTTGTTTAATTGACATCTCACTTCATTGGATCTCATTTTAACGGTTTACAAATTAAAAGTCTCGAGGCACAATTTGTATTTTTCCAAGAACTGATAAATTTTTTTCTAGAATTAAAATTGTCTAGTCTCCAAAGACCTAAAATGGTCCCCAGGAAGAGCAGCATGTGGGTAAGCTTGGGTGGTAGGGAATTTTTTCCCAATAATCATTAAAGTATTTATTATCCCATGGCAAAGAGATGTGTAAAGACGATAAATATGCATGCCTGTAGACAGATCATTTCTAAGGCACATCTTTAGCTTCTCTTAAAATCAATACTGTGAATTCGTACAATTTATAATCTACCTATTCCTACTGGGCTAGCCAGTCAAAAGCAGTCATCACTATTCTGTGTGTCTGGGCCCTTAGAGTGTGGTTCATCACCTTTGGAATTCTGTTGCAGCTTCACCCTTTGGTATTTATGCAGCCCGGTGAGTTTGATAGCTACATAGTGGAGAATTTATCAACAAGAGCAAATGCAAGACATACTCAGGGGTGAGATTTATATTGACTCAGACCCAACAGGGAGTCATCCAGAGTGTCATAGGTAAAGTTCTTTGCAGGTTCAAACCATTTTGGCTCCCCGTATTTCCATAAATATGCTACATATAAATAAATCTACCAGCGACAAAATTATAAATACTATGGGTCATGTAAACTGCCACCTCGTTTACCTGTAGCCTGGGAGCCTTGAAGGGTAACTTCTCTCAAATGTGAAATACGGAAGTTCAAGCCCTTCTTATAGCCGAAGGGTTATTTAAAGGTAAAGTGGCTTCTGCTTGTGCCTTGCAATTGTTCAGGTAGCAATTTCTAATTTGCATAACCTCAGTTTAAAAAAAAAAAAGGCACTTCCTCACACTGCAGCTGTTATCAAGTGTTTTCTGCCAAGCTGTAGAAGATACAGCTTTTAATTTTTTTCTCTTATTACTGATGAGAATTCAAAAGGATTAGCTGATGCTAATGTCAAGCAAAGCAGAGACTTTTCTGTTTCAGGGCTTCGTGAGATAAGTATTTGTCGTAGATATGCATACTATGTTAACAGGTTAGACTTGACGAGAAAAGGAATTATAAATTACAAATTACCTTTATAGTTTTGTTCCCTCTTAAACAGGTATATATGTAACAGTTCTAATAAATAGTAAATGTCTTCTCGACAATCTGTGTGTACGTTACGTGCGGGGTCTGTCTGTGTGTGTTTGTAAGTAGATCTTTGGGGATATCTCTTTAAATAATCCATGTACTGTATTTCTGGTGTGTTTAAAGGGGGAGGATATACAGCTAATTATGATGTGATAATTTTTTAAACTAACAGATATTATAACTGGTTTCACCAAACATTTTCATTTAATATGATGAAGGAGGCAATCTTTATCAAATATGAAGGAGATTTCCAGCAATCAGTCCTTTTTCGACTGTGTCGTGTGTATTTCAGTAGGCCAGATTTTCAAGAGGGACCTACCTTCTGAAATCCACAGTTCCAGAGTCTCTGCTTCTCTGTGAACCTGATGCTGCCTCCCAACATCATCCCACTTCCCACCCGTGAGAGCAGCCTTTGGGAGCAGTAGCATGCTGCCCGCCTCCCATCATGGGAGAAGTAGCTGTGCTCACCTGCACGAGGGTAAAAGGCAGCATAGAAAGATGGCGCTCACATTATGGAGGCAAGGCACTCTCCCCTCGGGTTCAGCTCCAGGTCCAATCAAGATAGTTTTACATTGTGCCGTATGCCCACCATGGCACCTCAGCAGGCAATCTATTACCAGGCTTTGCCTCACCCCTCCCAACCCTGCCCCATACAAATAATATTTACAAAGTCAAAGTTTAAAATCACCTACTTTAACCACAGGAAGTGACCAGTCAGCCACAGAGGTCAAAATTGAAAAGCTACCATCAATCAATGACTTGGACAGCATTTTTGGTCCAGTGTTGTCTCCCAAGTCTGTTGCTGTTAATGCCGAAGAAAAGTGGGTCCATTTTTCTGATACGTCCCCGGAACATGTTACTCCAGAGTTGAGTCCAAGAGAAAAGGTGGTGTCCCCACCAGCTGCATCAGACAACCCAGCTGACTCCCCTGCTCCGGGCTCCCCAGGCCCCCCGGGCCCCCCAGGGCCTCCTGGGCCTCCTCGCAGTGTACCATCACCGCTCAATTTAGAAGAAGTCCAGAAGAAAGTCACTGAGCAGACCTGCATTAAAGATGATTACTTAGAAACAATCTCATCTCCTAAAGATTTTGGGTTGGGACAGAGAGCAACTCCACCTCCCCCACCACCACCCACCTACAGGACTGTGGTTTCGTCCCCCGGACCTGGCTCGGGCAGTGGTACGGGGACCGCCAGCGGTATGTCTTACTGTTTGGGTGTGCTTCCTGTGACCGGGAATGGCTGTGGCTGCTGCAGTGTGAGCAATATCCTCCTCCTGCCTGGCAGTGGCTTTAGAGCTTCAGCCGTCCCTCCTTTGGTTTGGGTGTGCTGTGGCCCCATGGCATGTCCTAGTCCATCGAATGCTTGCAGTCGCGGTGCAAGTCTGTGGATGTGTTCTGCCCCACGCTCCCAGCCCTTAGCAGCGCCATGCCTTCCACCCTGCAGTTAGGAAATGTGTATTTCTTAAAAAAAAAAAAACTGTGATGTCGTTGTTTGGAATTCAGGAAAGTTCTAGAAGGACAGGTTTCATAGCGAATGAGTTTCATGTTAAATGTCTGATTTCCTTGTCAGATGTCCTTGTTCTCAAGTGCCCTGTTTTGGGTTTTTTGGGGTTTTTTTTCAATTTGGGGGTATAATTGACAAATAAAATTGTAAGATATTTAAAGTGGACAATGTGATGATTTGATGTATGTATGCATTGTGAATGCCTCCGTCCCATCAAATTAATTAACACATCCATCGCCTCACATATCTATCTTTGTGGGGGTTTTTTTGGTGAGAACATTTTTCTGCTCTCTTAGCAAATTTCAATCACACAGTACAGAGTTGTCAACTGCAGTCACCATATTATACATTGGATCCTCAGACCTTATTCGTGGAAGTTTGTGCTTTTTTTCCAGAGCCCTAGTTTTTGTAGGTCAATGTTTTCTACTATTTTTTTCTTCTGGGGGAGAACCGTGTTAACCCCTCTAATTAGTTCAGAAAAAAAAAGACGTAGGGTTTGAAAAGGAGATTTTGGAGGATGGCGAGAAAGAGGATGCCTTACTGCATCCCCTACCTAATCAACCTGCCACTGAAGACTAGCTGTTCTCTGGTTTCATCATTAGACCTGCTCATGGGCCAGGAGGTCAGCTCTGAGTGCAGTGACAGGTGATGGAAAAGTCTATCAGAAATGTGCATTGGGAGACTATCTATCTACACATGTTCACGTGGAATCTGATTTCTTGGCTTTCCATATCTGAAGCTTCATTTTGTGTCCTCTTGTTATGAAAGGAACACCTGCCATGCATACCAGAGGAAGGTCGAGATTTTCTAATGCATCTTTTTCCATTGCATTGATTCCCCTGGTTCTCATATTTGTCTGGCAAGATCCCCCAGTGCTTTCCCTCCTGTGCCCGTGGGTTCAGGAGGCACGTTCCTGGGGCTGTGATGTGCTATTTGTTTTTCATTTGCCTTGAAAGAGGTGTCCAAGTGTAAGTTATTTCGACCTGGGAAGAGACAGAAAGGCAAGGCATTTCTGTCTCCTGGCAGTCAGTCATCACTGTGCCTCTCTCAGGGGAGTCTCTCTCAGTGCTTGCTCATGCTTGCAAATTCCTCTTTGCTTTCACGGAAGGGCATCCAGGCTGATCAAAGAGAGGGCTGGGGAGTCACCTGCACTGCACACAAAACCGACGTTTTATATCATTAGATGCACCCCCCTGTGACTTCCTCCAACACGAGAGGAGATCCATCCAATGCTCAAATAAGTTTGGGAAACATTGTGTTAAAACAAACTCGGCAAGTTTCTTTTCCATAGGATCTCTGAGAGCCTTAATTTTGCCAATAATAGCAACAGCTGGAGTTTCTCGTCCTGGTACCACGCTGAGTGCTTTATGCCCATCATTTCATCCTCACAGCAACCCCATGTGGTCAATGCTCTTGTTGTCCCCATTTTACAGATGGGAAAACTGAGGGTCAGAGATGTTAAGTAATTTGCCCAAGTTTACACAGCTAGAGGTGATAGACCTGGGATTCATACTCAGCTCTGTCTGATCCCAAGCCTGTGTTCTTAACCACTGTGCTCTCCGAGCACTGTTGTAAATTTAGTTACAAAATGTCCCAAACTTATTTGATGACTGACACCCATCTATACCGCACAGTGTCATCAACAAGATCTCCAAAACTCTTCCCTCCAAACCTGCTCCTCTGTGCTCCTTTCTATAGAGCACCACCTCCATCCTTTATTGCTGTTTTTAGGACTTTTTTGGGATATAAGGCTCCTTGCTTCTCTGTAAAGATAATAAAGGGCCCTATGGAAAGCCTTCAGTTCAGACCTCAAACCCAAAGAAGCTGGCTGTCCATTGTCAAAGAAGGGCATCTTTCCCTCGTCTTCTGTGGGACCCTTTCCTGGGCCAGGCTCTGAGTCTTCTGGAGGACTTTTCTAGGAGTCAAGCCCTGTTTCCAGTGGCTGGCCACGATGCTCTCCTCCCAGGAAACACTCTCAGTGGAGGAGGAAGCACAGGGCCGCTTGGTTGTCCCTTGGTTTTCTCCATCACCTCCTCAGGCTCTGGGAGGCGTTTGTATAATCGAGTTGGCCGCTGACCTAATGAGCCAAGATTGGAGCTTTGGCTCTCTTTCTGGAATCTTGGAGAATTTCGTTATTGTTTTAGTGTTTAACTTCCGTACCCTTATTTGAAATTACTTGAAACTGTTACCAGTAAAGACTATTGATACTTAATAATTGAGCTGGAAAAGGCTATACTTTGTTGGTATTAAAGGACTGAATTTCTAAGTGGAAGATTGAACTGGGCCAATGAAGCTCATGAATAAATAAAATGTTGCACCATTATCTCCTTAATTAAGTCCCAGTTTATTTGCCGCTTAATCTTTTATTGATGGAATATACAGAAACTGGCAGAAATGTAAATCTAGGATTAAGACAATAGGATATGGCCTCATATTTTAAAGATGAGCAATGCTTCTCACTACCTGCTTTTGATAACACTTAGCCTAATAGGACTAACTTTTCCTGTGCTTCTCAAACTATATTTAATTGGATACCATTATGCTCACTTTAAAATTTCATCACAGCAAGGTGACTGCCACTGACCAAGTTCAAACAGTACTCACAGCCTTGTGAATCAGAAGCGTTACCTGCTGTTGAAAAACAGTTGGAAGTGAAGAATTCCCTCCAAGAACTTTAATTTCCTTATGGCAAAAGTTAAAAATATGAAGTTTGGCCAGAATGTTGCTTTGCTGGAACGTAACACTGATTCTTGGCAGAGGCGCTCTCTTCTGCCATGTGGGTTGTGTGCCCAGGGGATGGGATGGAGAAATTGTTTTATGGGCCTGCAGCAAGTTTGGAGGCCAGGGAGAGGGGTGTTAGTGAAGACAGACTCTGCAGTGCAACATTTTCCAACTTGGGAACTAAAGCCATATTAACAGATGTTAAACACAAACAGACACACACACATATCCGTGAACAAATGAGTTCGAGCTTCATGGGGTTGAATTAAACAAATGTATTTTCTAACCACAAATCTTTGTAGAGTGGCATTGTCCAATACAGAAGGCACTAGCCGCGTATGGCTATTTTAATATTAACTATAATTAAAATTAAAAGAAAAAAATCAATTCCTTAGATGCTGTAGCCACAATTCAGTGCTCAATGGCAACATGTGGCTAATGGCTATGATGTTGGACAGCATTTGTTCTAGAACATTCTCATCATTGCAAAAAGCTCTGTTGGACAGGACTGTTTTAGGGCTTTTAATGTGCTGGTCACCAAAAAAGAAGCATAGTATGTAACCATTCCCACACGTATTTAATACTTTCTTCAAAGAAATGGTGTAATTAAATACAATTTTGGAAATGCTATTTGATTCTTTACATATTTCGAAATTCATGTATTTTAATTCATTTGATCCTCCCCACAACACTGTAGTGTATTAGCCTCATTTTACAGTTAAGGAAACGGAAGCTCAAAGATAGAACTTGGCCACAGTCACAAAGCGAATAAGTAGCAAAGTCAGGATCTGACCCCAGATCTGTTGGATTCCATTTACCACTTCTTCCAGCTTCCCTCCTCTTCCCCCAACCCACACTCACTCAAAAAGAGAGATGAAAGCTGAAGCCATAGTTATGTGGTTCTCAGCAACTATGATGGAACTTCAGAAAATGGATTGTGAGAGCGTGTCAGTGGCTGCCAACTTTTTTGAACTCACAAAACTCAAATAATGCAAGGGCAATGTTTGAAGTTAAACCATAAATGGTGATTTGTCCAATTATTTTCCAGCATTATTCTTGGGAATAAGCACCGTCTGAAGGAAAATGAAAGTATAACTGAAGATTGAAGAATGAGGCTAGAGACGTACAGATAATAACCTTCTACGCTCTTACAATGGGCAACAGTTGTGTAATCTCACAAGAGCACGTGAAGCCTTAGGTCAGTTGTCACACACCCCTCAGGCCCTGAATACCCTCTGTTGGCCCGCAGGGCTCTGTCAAGCAGGATTTGGCTTCTTAAACACTCCCTTAGTGTCTTTCTAACTGCACAGCAAATCAATTAAATCAACTCAGTAAGGAAAAAGTGAGTTAAATGGGATGTCCATAAAGGAAAAGGAAAACGGTTAACTAGCCACTTTTTTCTTTGCTTTTAGTTGTATCTGTATCAAAAGACACAGTCTTTAGCACCATCATCAACATCTATTGACTTCCATTTGTGTAGCATTTTATAGTTTACTAAATACTTTCATAAGCATTTTCCATTTCAACTGTTCCAACTCCCTTGTAAGGTAGAAACATGTCTCGTTCTTTAATGCCGGAAGCTGAGGTTCAGAGAGGTGGTGACCCGCCGCCGACAGGAGGCGGGCGGGGCCAGAACCCAGACCGTCTGACCTTTCATCCAGTTTTTCCAATATTCCACACTGCCTGGATGACAACCCCTCATGACTTCCCCAAGCGTCACTGATAGAGGTTTGTTAACTTTCTCTTCTGGAACGTGTAGGATAAGCAGCTCGTCTTGTCCTGAGATCGAGTCAGAAGACTATTTCTTGGAAATAGACCCCTGGATAGAGATTTTGAAAGATTTCTATGGCATAGTTTTCCAGCGAAATAGAACCCAGTAAAAGCCCATGAAACTCCCCGACAAAGACTTTGCTGTTTAAAGGTTTATTTCCCATCTCTTTGCTGTCACATCTGTGTTCTGAAAAATCCTGGGTGTAAATCTGTTAACTCAAAAGAAAACTTTATAGTGGGACCTGTCAAAACATACCCTATTTTTTATTCAAGTAAAGATTAGCCAAAGACTAAGAATATTTCTATTGGGAGAGATGTGCACAAGCTGTCCGGGCAAAAATAAGCCTTCATGCAGAATGTGGGGCTCACAGTCCACCCAAAGCTACAAGACATTGCACTGAAGAGCTTGGGCTTCGGAGTTAAATAGACCATTTGAGCTGTGTGACCTTGAGCAAGTTACCCAATGTCTTTGAGCTTTAGTTTCCCCTGAGATAATTACAGTACCTTATTCCAAAGCTTATTGTGGGGATAAAATAAGATAATGCATGGAAAATGCCTAACATAGACCCTGGCCCAATAAAATAAGAAGTAAGAATACAGTAAAAAGGTGGTGGTGTGGTGGTGGAGAAGAGTTGGGGGGAGGCGGGTAATTATTAGTAGGGTTTCACAGTGATGGACTTACGCTTAAAATAAACAGCAGAGAGAAATGTAACGCAGTCAAGATTTCAGGTTGTTTAAACAAGAGGAGCAAAGTCTATTCCCAGGGACTTTCCTAAGGTGAGTGTAGATTCTGAGATGATGGGTTTTGCTGCTCAACTGCAAAGCTCTTTGAGAACGTGAGAGGCCGGGGATGGAGGTGCTGGTGCAGGACCCTCCGGAGAGCAGTTTCGTGGCGTGTTGGAGGGACGCAGGAGGGTGGGTATTTTCCTGGAGCAGGATACCTCAGAAATTTCTTGGAGTGATTTGGTACTTGTGCTTCTAACCCAAGTGAAGATACCTCAGGAGTCGCTGGAACTTTTCTAAACAAGAACTGTTGGAATATTGATTTGGCTTTCCTGAGGTTTTTAGTCCAGTAGCTCCCTGTGTAGCCCATAGTGTGACTGAAGGTAGGCAGAACCCTGAGTCCAGAGAGCCTGCTGGTGTGCTGGTTGGTGTGCATGCCGGCCTCTGTGTGTCTTCTGTGTTTCATGTGCTTGTCATTGGCAGCCAGAAAAGTAAATCCAAGAGGCTCTTTTAAAAATCACCACAAAAATCATCGTGGGCAGACTCTATGTAGGCAGATTCCTAAGCAGCCTCCTTCGAAAACTAAAATCCTCTAAATTCAATATGTTCCTGTTACTAAGATTCTAAACACAAAGTCCTCACACAACATCTAGTTTACTTTCTTAGATTTGGTCCTTTGTTTGCATCGTGTTTGCTTACATTTATACAGCACTCAGATTTTGCAGCACAGTACAAAAGATAATTCTTCTTATACATGTTTTAAAAATATATAATGTGGGAAAATCATTCATCTTCCTTCAACTTCTACCCTCCGCTTTCATCTTGGACGTAAATAAATTCTGAAAATGCAAAAGGCAAGAGAATTTATCTTATGTTTGGTGTGTATGTGGTCAAAATGAAAACTACCCGCCACCCAGCCGGAAGAGTCTTAAGAATGTACTTTCTGTCCCAGAGAGTGACAAAAGGATTTACCTTTCACGGGCGTCACATGACAACAAAGGCAATGAGCTTCCGCTTCTGCCATCAACCATAGTTCAACCAAGTGCTTTTTTTTCTTTATTAAAAAAAGAAAAAACACCACAAGCTACCATGTTGAATGCAGTAACTGCTGAGGGGGAGGAAAGTTCCGGGACTGCGGCTGTCTGAACAGGGGAGGTGGGGGAAGGTGATGAGACCCTTGGCCCCCTGCGTTTCCAGCCATGTTGAATGCCAGCTTCTTTTACAGGTGCATCATCCCCCGCCCGGCCAGCCACTCCGTTGGTTCCTTGCAGCAGCACCACCCCTCCTCCGCCTCCTCCCCGGCCTCCCTCTCGGCCGAAGCTGCCCCCAGGGAAGCCTGGAGTCGGAGACGTGGTATGTCTCCTCTGCCCTGGCTCGCCTAGAAACACGTGGTGAGAATGACAGACAGAAGCCAAGATGCCCTAACACGGGCGTCTCAACTTCAGGTCTAAGCCTAGGGCGCTCGTACACGTGGCCCTCACAGGTGACATCTGAACGACTGTCCCTGCAGTATGGGTGTGCATTTCAACCCTCCTCGAACCTCTACCCTCTTGCAAGCCAAGGTCTGAAATGGCAGGATAGGATTCTAGGGCCCTCCGTCCTGCTTCAGTGGGTTGATGCAAACTAAGATAGTAACTTTCAATTGTGCTAAATTCTTTAGAAAGCAGATGTTTCCTTTCTCCATATTTATCTGCTTCTGGAAGACGCCAAGAGAAGGCAAGTCCTGATTTCTGTCCCCAGACTACAGAAAAGTTACCAGTGGTAGGCACACTACGTGGACATAAAGGAGGGTGGTGGTGGCCCGATGAATTTGTTCCAGAAGTTTCTTGCGCTGTGTTTTAAGGCTGAGGGGTATAAAACATTCTGTGTAAACAACTAAGAGACTTCGGGCAGAGCTCAGCTTCTTTGGCATCCATGCACAGGAGTCACAAACTAGTGAGGTCCAGGGTATTTGGTTTAGCTAGCGCAGTACAGTGTTTTGTATTCAAATATCTTTAAATGGGTTTAAGCTCTCACAGTCGGCTACCTGCTTAGTCCCTGAGGGCATGTGACTTCCCAGTCCTGAAACATCACTGACCACAGCACAGATCTCAGCTTCTCTGAATCTGATGGCCCTACTGAGTGCAGCACAGGATGGGTTATGGCTCCTCCAGCTCCACCATGACCTCCTGTACAGATACAGTCAATTTCAGTGTAAAAATGGTGTCACTTGTACCCTTTTAAGAACCTTGTTGCCATGCCTGGGGCTGGAAGACATTCAAAATATGGAACAAAAGTACTATGACCTGTGTATCTAATTTTTCTTCTCTTTCTTCCACCTGCAGCCCAGACCGTTCAGCCCTCCCAGACATTCTTCCAGCCCTCCTCCGATAGCACCCCTAGCCCGGGCCGAAAGCACGTCTTCAATATCATCCACCAATTCCTTGAGCGCAGCCACCACTCCCACAGTTGGTAAAAATTATCTCCTCTATTCTACTCTCTTTGTGGTTTTGACTGGCTATTTTTTAATGGTCTGAAACCCCAGGCCCTGGGTTTCTGGTCGAAATTGTTTTGCTGTGTCTTTCGCTATCATCTGACTCTTCTTTTAAAAGCACCTTCTCAGCAAAGGAGGCAAAGGGCTTTAACTAAACAAATAAACAAATAAAAGAACATGAACCCCTGTGTTTTGCAGGAATTCTCTTATGCTGTGCCATACAGAACTATTCATAAAAGTAAAGAAGAAATCGTCAAATAAGGTCTTGTAATTTAGATATTATTTCTTATAATCAAAATGGTCTCCTTTGAGGAGGTATGTTTATTTAAATTCCAACCAGGTACCACATCAGAAATCACAAAATTTAGAACTTTTATTTTCTCGAAGTTTTCATTTCTTCGTCACTTTTTGGTTGTCCTTATGTTGACAGATGGTATAAACAGTGGCATTGTGGAACTGGAACAAACTTTTTGACATTTTTTCTAGTGCTTTTCAGTGATGTGTAGTCAATTTTCCCCAAGATATAAGTCATTGCTGGCATTTCCAGTAAATGCCTCTGTGCCTCTTTCCTTATGGTGTGCTGAGAGTGAAGAGTTGAGCATGGCTGCTCAGCTGGATGGTTTCCCCAGGGTTAAATGCCTCATTTTGCCTGGAGCATATTCCCTCTTCCCAGGCTGGTCTCTCTCTACACCTCTTTGCCCATCTTCCTGAGCTCCTGCTGCCTTCTCCCGTTTGCATGGTGTCTCTGACTGGGGCTTTCCCATTCCGTGTTTTCCCATTGTCCTCCTTTATTGCCTGACCTCCCCTACAAGTCACCCATATTATAAACCAGCGGACCCATCCTGCATTGCTGGGAGAATCATTAACCCAAGCTCAATAAATTCCTGCTGCTACTTACCCAAGAAGGGCTCGCTATAGAGTTGCCCATGTGAGAAGTAGTTTGAGCAAAGTCTGAAGCTCTTCTGGAGAAGAACTTTCTATTTTCCTGGGAAATAAGTTAAGGTGTGCCTCTGAGGGCCCCCAAAGAGTATTGCAACTATATCACATGCTATATATTTTTAATCAGACCAGCCCGAAAGAATCCTTCAAATTTGGTGAAAATATAGGCAGCTATCTAATTCAGCGTGATTCATTAACAGACAGGTATTTAACATTATTTATATAGCCAAGCCTATATTTTATCTGCATCACCAATTGGGGCAATTTGGGGCTTCCTGTTTTTAGATGTCTATTAGCTCATTTCTCTCTGAGTTTTTCTTTTGTTTTTTCTGTAACATCCAACTTTATTTTTGAACTCTCTGTAATGCTCTTGATTGCTCCAGCCATTTCCCCCACTTCTGCTCTGTTGTTCTTGTTTTTATTACTCAAGATCATTTGTTCCACCAATTCCATGTGATTTTCCTAGTTGGTCAGAGAGGAAAGTGAAAAGAATAAACTGTCACTCAGAGGAAGCAGACCTCAAGTGACCTTGGATGACTCTCTAATGGATTCTTCCAACTCGTTGAAATTCACAGAGGAAATTGCACATACAGAGAATTCGAACTGTGTCCATATTTGGTGCAATGTGTGTTTATACTCCGTGCTGCAGAAACCTCAAATTCTGGCCAGTGACTTTGATTATTAACATAGCTAGTATGCATTCTTTCAAGATGAACCACAGAGGGGTTAAAAAAAAACCCACCTGAGAGGGTAATCACATGGCTGCATTGCTGGGGAGCATTCTCATTTACTCTGTTTGGCTCTGTTATTTTTATTTGGTTTTCATCTTCCTTGCTCTCCTGTTCTTTATTTCCTGCTGCTGCGGCTCACCTGACAGTCACTTCTCTCTGAAGTAAATGCATTGTCAAATGACTGACTACCCAGCAGCTTCTTGCGTATTGCTGTCTACCTCCTTTTGGAGAGGATGTGCTTTGACTGTTCAGCACCAAGGGGCTGACTATTCATGACTGACTTGGAATGTCAGCTTAAGGTAGTCAAATGGCTTGAGGAATTAGAGGATTTCAGGGGCAAATTCCTGAAGTTGATGGCTTCGACATTTCCCTCCCACCACCACAGTACTTTTTTGACAATTCCTGTGACACTTGAGCCAAAATTGGGGCAAGTGTAGCAGAAACTGCATTTATTTATTTGTACTTGCTTATTGTAAAGTTTAACATAATTCAAGGACTAAATTTTTAAGACTAAGTCTAATCTTCCTACACAACAATTCGTATAAGAATATGCCTCTGAAAGACTTAGGGCATAAAATCTTTCTTGACAGCTTTGATTATAAAGTTGTAAGTCTAATGCCACACCCAAAAATGAAACTTTCTGTGCATTGCCACACTCAGATAGTGAAGAGCTCCTATGCAGCTGTACTGCACTGAATTTGAGATTCCTTCAATTGGAAGACGAACTGTTATTCAGACACGACTGAGACCCAGGGGGAATGCTGCCAATTGAGCTCAGACACAATGTTTTCTTATCACATTCATGTTAAGACCCATACCAATTTCATAGAGGTTAAAATGTGAAAAAGTGCACATATTAGAATCCATGAAATAAAATAAGCTCCTTTTCTGCTAGAAAAAGCTCACAGGACTGCAAAATCTTCCTTTGGAACCCCAAAGCAAAAAGACTACCATGGAGACAGTTTTTTTCATTGTTAAATTCACTATTAATTACAATTCCTTCACTGTTAATTATGCATTTTCAATTGCATCTTAACATCCCAGGAATCTGTAAGGAATGAAAAGCAATCATTTATGGGCACCGAAGGAAACCTCGGATGGACTTTGATGCTGCCTGTGGTCTAGAACATTGAGCAAAAGTGATTTATTCAGTACTGGAATATTCACCATAGCATCTAAAACTTAAAACACTGCCTCCAAACCTCTGTCTCTCCAAGTCGGGTGGCAGTTCTGAACTGGATAAGCTTTCTTTTAAAAATACCTGTATTAACGCCAATTAGCCTGCGCACAAAGGAAGTCCTTTGGAGGTGAATATTCCTGATCCCAATTAAAAATTCCCACGTTTAATTTTAGTCTTTTGTTTTTCTTCTGCTTTTTTTTTGGAAAAGGCTGTCTCCAGTACTGGCTTCCCCATCCCAGATCAATTTGAGGGAGTTTCCATGGTTAGGTCTTAAGGAAATTTTTTTCTTCTGTACTTAGTTTGAGTGTTGCCCTTATTTAAACCAAACACAGAGCTTTCCAATGACTCACTTTTTAAGTTCTCTGATTTATTTAGGATGTTTTCTTCTGAGTCCTTAATGTCCATAACCACCAGAAAAAAAAATAAATCATAAGCATGCTATTCAACTCTTATGAGCTATTGTTGTATAACTTCAGTTCAAAGAACAAATGGCAGCGTTTGAGGCTCCTCGTGTTAACGAGGCTGTAAATAGGAAGTCACTTCTTTACAGAAAGGATCTCCTCCATCATTTCCCACTAGTAGGTATGGAAAGGCACTGTTACATCAATTACTGCCTGTGTAACTGTTTTGCTGCCTATTTTCTGGAGAGGTTACTGAGGGCCAGTTCCATTCGTCCTGTTCCTCTCCTAAAGGGATTATAGGAGTTGCATTAACTGTTCTAGCCAGTAAGGAAGCCACATGTGTAAAAAAACCGATTGACAGGTGCTATTGTAGAGCCCTAAAAATTGACAAAGAAATAGTTTCCCTGTCTTATTCTCTACATCTAGGAGGCAAGCTAGTAAAATATTTTCCACGAAATACTGTTTACAGAATGATTTTACTACACTCACCCCTTTCCTTATCTTTCGTACATTGTAGGGAGGATTCTCCCTTACTGGTCTTTGTACAGATTTTATTCAATTTTCCACTAAAGTTGCAATAATAACCTCAGGCCCTATGGCATTGAACATTTTTTTAATCACATAGATAGAGTAAAACTCCAATCACCTGCATTTGTTAGTTGGTGAGAAAGGAGAGCACCTGCAAGGATCTGGAACAGTTGGGGTCCAGGGCAACTGTGGTGACCAATTTATAAAGGCATTTGGCCATAGCTGGATACCATACCCAAAGATGGAATTGCCATAATGCTCTTTGAAATTAACAGTCCATAACCACCAAAGACAGGTGCAAGGCAAATTGAATTTGGATATTGATGAAGTTGAAATGGGATACTTCATTCAGGGACCTCAAACTTATACTGTTGCTTTCTCACGGCCCCATTAAAAGCTTCCTCTTTTCCCAGGGGGGAAGGTGCATGCTGAGTGATCCTGTTCAGCTGTCAGTGCTCTGTCAGGAGGTTCGGTTGATGGACATATGTCTGGTCACTTGAGGATCGTGTCTGAGTGAAATCCATTTCCTCGAGTCAATTATTAATGATAGTGCCTTTAACAACGGCATGAAAAGGTGGAGGCATGATTTCTTCCATGGAGCTGACTTCAGCCAAATTCACAGATGCTAAAACCTGGCATTTTTAAAATTTTCATTTCTTCTCACAGAATCATCGTGAAATAAGCACATCACTTTTTTATATCCTAGTCATAATCCCCAGTGTCTTGGATTTTCTTTCCTTTTTCCATTAAAATCATTCCCGTGTTTCGATCAGTGAAGTGTGCTGCTTGATTTCATCTGGGATTTGTATTTGTGTTTTTGTTTTCCACGCCTTTATATTTCTTTGGCTCGTAGTGTCAGAAGATGATGTTTTTTATGACAAACTGCCCTCGTTTGAAAGGCGCTGTGAAACGCCTGCAGGTATGGTGCGAGACGAGTGATCTCCAGATGCTAGACTTTAAAATCCAAGCCATTATGTCATCTGAATGCTGTAAAGTTCATGGACATGCTACTCCCCTCATGAGCGTCCAGTCCTTCTCAGATGCGCCCTGTTTACTGTTCATCGTGGAACTCATGCCACTGAATTTTTTTTTAAGTGAACATATTTAAAGCAGCAGGTTGCATGACAGTTTCTCAGTGAAAAGTTTCGAAAAAGGTGAGCTGCTATTGCTTTGTGAATTTACAAAGGAAGGAATAATTTAACTGCTCAGAATTACATGTCCAGTGACTGCTTTCTAATTTAAAAAGTAATAGAGCACGTCAGTAACCTTGTTTTCTCTTTGGTGCTTAGGTAAAGGGTCTTTGTGTCTGGATGCCTAAGGTGATTCCGGGGAGGGGACGGAAGATATAGGACATCTTCCGCGAACTTTAAATTGATGTGCAATGCTGTTGTCATTTAAAACCTAAGCTAAGTTTTCTATAACCCATAACTCTGAGTTTATCTTTTTGAAAACATAGAAGGGGATCACATTGAAGATGAAATGGATACAGCAATTGCTGAATGACAGTTTGCCCAAAGCAGTGCAGTTAAAATATGCTGGCGCCCCTGCGTGGCCAGGAAGACCTGCTCTGTGCGCACAGGCACCAAGTGTCAAGCACCCAACAACACATGCCCATCTTTTTAGGCCTCCATAGCTTTGCTTTTGCTTTGTTTCCCGAACTAAAAAAAACGCCTAGACTGCCAGCCTTCCCTTTTCCCTGCACGCTAGTAGCATGCAGTGCCTCTGCCCCACTGTAGTGAGATTATGACCTGCTCTGTGACTCACACTGTGTCCTTCTCTCTCCCTCTCCCTAACCTTCCCCGTCCCGCTTCAACTCCTGGCCATACAGAGAATGAGCAGCCTTCCCTCGTTTGGTTTGACAGAGGAAAGTTTTATTTGACTTTTGAAGGTAAGTAGGACATAGCATACCAGACTCTGATTTATACTTCCTCATCCTTTCTCATCTGCATTCGAAATCCCAGCTCTCTTCAGAAGACCTGGTCTCACTTTCCATATGAAAATGCTATGGCTACTTAGAAAATCCTCAATACTAAAGAAAATAGTACCTGAATTTGGTTGGTATGGGATCTTCAATTTTTCATATTAAAAAAATTAAAGCTAATTTGCAGTTAATATTGGTTACTTCATTAACTGTGTTAAAGTGAAAAAAACAAACTTTTTTGGCCAAGGAACTTAACTCTGTCAACCAGGGCTCTTTGCTAACTCTTGCAAATGCAATGCAACTAATATAAGGTCATTTTTGGTTGGAATTGGCATTTAACTTTGTTTTGGATAATTACCATTACAGCATCTACTATTGTAAAATGTAAATATGCGTACATACTCTTATGACAAGGAATGCTTCATGGGAGTTCAGAAAAATGAGGAAAAGAAAGAAAGGACTATTTTAGTAAGTTCTATTTACATCTCCTGAAATTGCAACTGCAATGACTGTAATAAAATGGACAACTATCGCCGGACCTGCCATTTTAGCAGATTAAGGAAAACATACATAAATAGAATGTCAGATACCTAACCTCAGTGTTGGATAATTTGTCATATTCTGCATTACTGATTAGCATTCTTCTGTTTTATATTTAAATTCTAAATCATTTTCACAGGACAGGCATTTGACAAAATGGCCCATTTAAACTCATGGTAAGTTTAAATTAAATAATTTAATTTAAAATTAAATAATTTAACTTAATTAATGGGCCATCTTATACATAAATTTTTACCACTTAAGGCCCTAGTTCCTACAATTTTAAATAGCTAAATTTATCCTGGGGTCAAAAGTTGACAAAAAAATATTCTACTCTAGAATGGAACCTAAATATTGGGGTCAAAAGTTGACAAAAAAATATTCCACTCTAGAATGGAACCTAAATATTGAACTTGTCTTTGTGTTTCATGACAACAAAAAGAACTTTCGTAACTTGGGCGTCTATTTTAACACAACTTGAAAAATCAGAATGATACAGATTTGTACGTAGTTTGTGTGGTGTGGCTTTTTCCTCTCCACAGTGAATTTTCCTTTCAAGATGGTCCTAGGGACGGAGGTCCTTAGCTTGGAGTGGCTTGGATAGCAGCAGAAAATATGATCTGACTTAAGACTTTCCAAATATCTGATGTCTTGTCCTGGCGTGGGGAGAGGGCAGAAGAGGCAGTCTTCAGGGGAGGAGGCGTATTTTCCACTTGTGTCAGAAGTTGTCATTGCCTCAGGTCATTAGTTTTGTAATAACCAAGGTGCAAAGTCCACAAACTTATGACCTTCTAAACTTTCTCTTTGAATCAGATGGAATTAAAAAGTGCACAGGTATCTTTGTACTGATCAGCACATCTCAAAAGGGAAGCTGCCTTGAGTAGGTTGGTAATCCTGCAGGACAGCAAGGACATCAGACATGAAGGCCCTTTCTCTGCTTTGGCGGGGCCACAACGAAGGCTGCAGTTTGCTCAGTTTTAACCAGGAAATTAAGCAACACGCTACAGGCAACCCTCCAGGAATTGTCTGGGGCTCCACAAAAGAACAACTCGGGCAGCTTTTCTGTTGTTGTACTTTGTTTTGGCTTCAGAGTATCTATTGGCTTGTTTACTTGTGTTTTAGTTTGGGTTTCGTTAAATAGAGAGAGAAAGACTTTTTTTTTGAAGATACCAATCTAAGGATAATTTTTCGTCGTTGGTTTGTTTTTAAAAAGGAAATTATCAATCAAGTATAAGTATTAACAAATGTGTGGAATATCATAATATGAATCACATTTTTATTTTAGGAAAATATAATATTTGTTAGTAGATTTCTGGGTACCTGAAGTTGCTAATATTGCCATTCTAATTAGTAAGATCCAAAGTCCTTAAGCATCTCAATTCGGGTCATGAGAAGTCATGCAAGAAAGAGTTTTAATAGAAATTAATTGGAATCTCTGGTACGGTGTTATCTTCATCTTGAATTTTGCTCAAGTCTGGGAAGTATAAACAGATAGAAGTACATTAAAATAAGCTTCAAGGGAAGACACTGGAGAAACTAAAATGACACATTGCACCTGAGCAAGAATGGCTATTTTTTAGGAATGGAGAAGGTTTGTTTTCATCTTTATGTACATTAATCTCAGGTATTTTTAGCTAGTGCAACCTGGAAGGATTTTTTTATTTTCTGCTGTGATGATAAAGCAACATAGAAATGGTGTCATAGTAAGTTACCTTGAGAATAGTGCGCCTATCTAAATTTTTATAGTCCAGAAGACTGTCATTCAACATGACAGTTTTATTGAATAACACTTCTAGCACATTCCTCTAGGGTACTCAGATTTTACCCACATTTGTTATTATTAATATTAATTATTATTATCTACAATTCTTCATTCAGGGAATGCATGAGAGGAAGGAAGAATGCCAGGTAAAAATATTCACCTGTTCTAAATAGTTTCTAAATTATTATTTATTGGCATCTAAATAATGTTTTTATAGTGTTCAAAACGTTAGCCTGTCTTATTCGTTGCTTTGTCCGTACAGTGTTTGGGCATAGCAGCTACTCAGGAAGTGTTTGAGTCACTGAGCAACCAACCAACTAATGAGCACTGGCCTAGGAATTTATTTGGGGATAACGTGAGGTGCTTCACGCTTCCAAGAGGGGTAGAAAAGTGTCAGACAATGGTTCTAACTCACAAGGGTTCCAAAGCTTTTCTTAATGTTTTACTTTTATAAACAATTTCACTGAAAATAGAACCTATTTAAGTTGGGCTAAAAAAAAAAAGTAAAGGTTACAAAAGGTAATACATTCATCCAAGAGTATATCCGGTTGAAGCTACCAAGTATTATTCTGAGATGGAAGGAGTGGAAAGCTATTTCCGTGACTAGGAAAAGATGTGACTGTTAGATGTTTGGACAATTTCCCAGAGCATTTTAACATCAAGATGTTTCCAGAAATGTGCTGGCCCTCTCCTTGATTAGCTTATTTAACTGCAAAATCATCTTGTATCTGCTAATGGAAAAAGAAAATCCTGCAACCATGCCTTCTTGAGTGTCCTTGTTTCTGAATACTGTCTCTAGCCTCTGTGCATCCAGCTTCTTGCGCACTCGTTGCTGCTGTTTACTGCTCTTGCTCCCGTCGTGCCTCGGAATGTCACGTCCTTAGCAACACCCTTCCCTTCATTCGCAGGCTCTTTGCTGAACTCGCCCACCTGTTTCCTTAACTGAATCCCAGCTCTCTCCAGGGACCCGTACTTCTCCTGTAGCTCTCTCCACAGAAAGTTCTTCAATCTTCTGTGGGCCATATGTCATGGGAGTAGGAGGCAGTGTTTGAATTCTCCCAACCCCATATTGCCACTCCCCAACCACTCCCCACTGTGGAAAGCGGCCATCTGATAATTCCACCTTCTACTGCTCCGTATTGCTGTCCACTGCTGAGCTGCAGAGCGTTCCTCTGCATTCATCTATAGGTTTAGAGATGCTGGCAGCTCCTCTTCATCCTCTTCTCCATCACACTTCCTAGCTTCTTCCTGTGACATGGATTCCATGTGGATGACCCATCCAACACCTGGCCCCAGGGCCTCTGACTTCTTCAGCTCCAACAAGCTTTCCCTTCACTGTAATCAGTAACTCACACCTGGGGCCACATCTCAGAAATGGTCCCGCTGGCAAGGGTCATTTTAGTTGTTTCACAACTAACAATTTGTCACCCTTCCTGTGCACCAAGGACTACATTAGGCAATGATTCCTTCGTTCAACAATATTTATTGAACAGTCCTGTGTACCGGCACAGTCCTTGACTCTCCCCAGTAGTGGACAAAATAGGAAACACTCTCTGTCACCACGGAGCTTCCATTCTAATGTGAAGAGTCAAAAATAAGAAGATAAATAAATAGAGAAGGAGAATAGAGCATATCGTGGGTTGCAATTTTAGGTAGGGGCCCTGAGGCAATGAAAGTGATGGATAATAATAGGTAACATCTGAGTGTTCACTGCGTGCAAAGTCCGTCCCATCTGTGATCTCATTTCTTCTGCACAACTCACTGAGGAAGAACTTCAGATTCAGATGATGTGAGTAACTTTTGCAGGATCGCCCAGCCAGGGAGAGGCAGAGTAGGGATTCAAACCAGGCCTCCCAGCTGGAGACCTGGGACGATGCTCTGCTCTACAGACGTCATCTCGTTCTTCTGAAGTAGGTGGTTCTGGTGGGTTTTCCCTAATCTTCTAACCCTCCCGCTTTCCTAACGCTCCTGACTATACCTTATCTTTGACCTTGCCGAGACCTCTGGGTTTCACATCCATCCCATTCTTGCTCAGTCCACTAACTCAGGCCCACATTCAAGTTCTTTTTTCTAGCCAGATTAGACCCCGTGGAGGAGAAGTCTGTTTCTATAAGGACTCTAATCATCTATACAATGAGAGCTACATTTTCCTCTTTGGAATTATGTTGTCTGTGTGAAAAAAAATAACTCTTCGGCACTTTAAGCTTCTGAACTCCTTCAGCAGGTGATTAAATATCCGTGTTTAGTAATTGGTAAGACACAATCATAGTCATGGACTACCCAACTTTCCTTACCCTCCCATGGTAATAACATCTGGTAAGAAGCAAACCAGCCAAAATTTTCACGTGGCCAGGAGGATATTAATTCATTCATCTGAGAGTCACTAGCAAAAGGAAAATTGGAGGGTGTGACTAATTTTTTGGGAAGCAACTGGTTTGCCAAATTCACAATATTCTTTAAATGGGAAGTGTCCACTATCATCCCTACCCCAGTGTAGGCCCTTTTCAATCAGGAAAACTGAAATTATCAAGTACCCAAGTCTGCACACCACAGTGTGAAGTACAACCAGGCTGGGAAAAAAATATAAAAAGACTGTGTATCTTCATTAAAAACATAATGAAGATACAAGACCACCTTCATTAAAAATAGTAAAATCACACTCCTG